CGCGGAGTGCTAGGGCGGGAATTCTATCTGGGCCAGGCGATTTCGCAGGCTTCAGCCGGAGCAGCTCGGCCCTAACAATGGTAGATGAAAAGAGTGGTTCCTCGGTTAAGGAGGGTAGGGAGGGGATAGGATGGGGAAGGGTACTGGGAGGAGAGGTTGGTTGGCGAATGGATGGATGGGCAAATATAGCACTAGGTTCTCGGGTGAAGACGGACTGAAAGAAGTCGGAAAGGAGGGACGCTTTAACCTGGTCATCAATCTCCACTTTTCCATCTGCAGACTTGAGGGCAGGGATTATCTCCTGAGTCCTTTTAGTACTTCGTATATAACCATATAGAATTTTCGGATGCTCCAACGAATTTCGGAGGATGTTTAGTTCAAACTTCTTTCGCAGCTTTGAGGCCTCACTTTTACAGACGTTTCGTTGCCGCTATATTCCTGTAAGTGTTCGTCGGAGCCAGTTAGTCTGTAACGCCTCCACAGACGATTCCTTTTTCTGAAAAAGGCCTTCAAGTCCGGGTTTATCCATTTTGGGCGGTTTGTGATTGTCTTCCTTCTGAGAGGACAATTGGAATAAACAATCTCTTTCAGTAAAGAACTGAAAGTATTCCAGTTGTCGTTTGCTCGACCATGCAGTTCAGTCTCCCATGATATAGTTGCCGCTTCCCTCCTCATGAGAGAATAGTCTTCTTTCCAAATGTTTCTCTCCCACCTCTCGGGTTGGACGGGTTTGGAAAACAGTGAGTACTCGACGTAGAGCGTGATGTGGTCGCTTGACCCTAATGGCTGTCGGTCCTGCAGGTCTAACAAGTTTTCCTCCTCTCGGGTAAAAATAAGATCAAGGCAGTTCGACTGCTGTCCTTCCCTGACCCGTGTTCCAAAGGTAACATTCTGGCAGAGAAGTTTGTCCGTTGCCCATTGTATTAGTTTGTGATTAAAGCTGTCTTGCGGCCCTTGTGCAGTCCACGTTAGCCCATCAATGCCAGGAGCGTTAAAATCCCCAACGATAAGGACGTCTTTCTTCTTGCTAGCTTGGTACAGTTCGGACATGAGCATGAGATCTTGGTCAGAAGTATGGTTAGGTGAACGGTACACTACCGAAAGCGTCAATGATCGGACATTCTTAGTAGATATGGTAACGCTTAGCAGTTCCACATCCCGTACCGGTCTGTGTACATCAGCCATAGCGCTTAGCTTGCTACTGACATAAATTATGACTCCTCCTCCTCGGCTTAGTCTATCTCTCCTGAATTGCTGATATCCTCTAAGTGATATTTCTGAATCTGGGATATCTTCAGTAAGCCACGTTTCTGTGAATGCCATAATGTCTGGCTTAATTTCATCAACTAAGTGTCTTAGTTCGTCTAGTTTGTTGAAGAGGCTTTGCACATTTGCGGATATAACCTTCAATGACTGATTTGTTGGAGAGGCCCGGCCTTCAATGTGACGGGTTCTGACCACAGGAAAGACCCCTTTGTTTGGACTATTTGTCCATTTTTGATCTTCAGCCCTTTCTCTCCTCTGCCAATTCTCTCCTTCAATTCTGATCTCACTTTTCTCATTTTCAGTCTTTCCCTCGGTTCGTAGTCTGGTTGAAAAAACACTTCTTTGTGCGAATTGCGTAAGGTCGTTCTACTTTCTAACAAAAGCGCTGCTTGGGCTTCGTTTTCCAAAATAACTTTCAGGGGTCTTGGGGATGTTTCTAGGTCACGATTTGGGTCCGCTCTGCCTAGTCGGAAAGCTTTTTTAACGGTGAATATTTCCCCATCCTGCAGGACGGCACTGGCGTACTGATGAAGGAGGTCTAGGTCGTGCGTCACTCGTTCCTTCGGAATGCAGGACGTGGACTCTGGGGCGCCCCTTATGACAATATTTTGCTTACGATTTATGGAAGAGCTCATTACTGTCCCGTCCGCGCTAGGACGATATAATGCTACTGTAGTATTCCCGACGGCTGTTGTCACTTCGACATTTGAATGATTTCCGGCCGGCGAAGGGAGTTTAGGGCATGGATTTTCATGTGACGTACTTGCTCCGGCAGTGGAGCTCTTACAATCATTACCCTGTTGCAATGTACTGCACGAAGGCTTATCGTGTCCTTTTCCATAAACGGAATGGTTAGGGCACTTTCCAGATGAGTTAACCTTGTGAAGAAGTGGAGTAACAGCATTGCCTTCCAAGAATAACGGCGAGTCCTTGTAGTTCCTAACAGATCTTCTGAGGGTCATCCTGGCTTTCCCAACTTTATTGTTCGATGATTTGGCAGGTTTTGTTACTATAGCAGGTAATGGAACCTGACTTATTTTTAATGCATAAGTGTCGACTGCCACGTTATCCACCGGAACTTATTTGTCTAGAGTTTCCTCTGGAGACATAACTCGCTTCCTCTTCCTGACTGGCTTTGACTTTTCCGCGCTAGTGCCTTTATTAGTAGGATGTTCGTCGCCGATAAGTGATTCTCTTTGCCTGTCACGCGCCTGGCGCATCCCTGAGGCCATTTCAAAAATCTCTGTGATGCTAAGATGAATTGATAAAGAACTAGTGGATAGGACGCGCAGCTGTCGTCTCAATTTTTTAGTCTGTTATGAAGAGAATGAGGAACAAGGGGATCTGAAGAACTAGGCTTGAGATATTTACGCGGCACAAGCTCTAGGACGTCCTTGGAAACATTGGGCATGATATCACGAAGAATGGTTGCATCGTTACAGGAGAGGAAGCCACACCAATCCAAAGATCTAATGTAGTTATTTATTAAGTCGTTCTCTACGCAATCGTAATTTATGTAAATCCTAACGGTGCTGGTCTTTTTTGAAAATGCAAGCGGTAGACAACAATGAATTAATACGTGGTCACTGTCAAAGAGGTCCTGTAGCAGCCGCTCCAGCCCCCCTTTTCTCCGGCTCCGTTTTGTCGGTCGATGACCGCGATAAGCGCTGACAGGCCGCTGACGCACGACCACCCCCCGCCGGCTAGAACTGGGACACCTCCGGTCCAGCTGCAGTGAACCCCGGCTGCACTCAAAAACTAGTATCGCCTAACGCGCGTCGAACGCTTTGGCTTGATTCCTGTGAGGCCTTGTGAGTATGCGCCCTCCATTCGTCCCCTAATTAGTCCAATCACACGACCACCACGCAGACAGTCACCCCCTCCTGCTAACTTAGACACACACACGCGTTAACAAGACACACCGCGACTGACGCCCTCTGCGAACGGACGCTTTTCTCTGTTGCAAGCAAACCGCCAACTTACGGCAACCTGCCCTGTGTACAGAATAAAGTAGTCCTCACAGCTCCCTGCCTTCTGACAGTAGACGAAACGAACTTATTGTGCGTGGTTTTAAGTCGATCTCACATCCTTGACCGCCACAGTCCTTTTTGAAAGCAACAAATAGATTTGCGATGTCATTGGTAAAGATTAGATCTAAAATGTGATGATCTCTTGTTGGAGAGCGCCCTAATTGGGACCAATTAAAAAATGAAAATATCTTGAAAGGGCTGGAATCTGGGTGGACAGCTATTGGAAAACCAGTCTATTTTAGGAAGGTTAAAATCCCTAGTGATTATTCTAACATCGAAAGCAGCTTCCGAAATTAATTTAAAGATTCTGCAGAG